TATATACCTACTTTGATAATGTTAAGAAAAATTATTATATATATTCCGTGCGCGACTACTTTAGTTGTGTATGTAAGAACACACCGCCTAAACAATGTATCAATAGGTGGGACTACCTCATCGTTCCACATACCTTGAATTTCTTCCAGGCCTCTGGCTATAGGGAACGAGCTGCACTTAGTAGGCATGACATCTGGACCCAAACCACACGTCAACTTCACCCGCCCGGTACCCTTCTCGTTTGGAGATGGTTGCATATGCGATTGGTCTGAGTCCAGCGGTGTCGCTGTTTGTACACGTGTCTGTTCTCTTCTACCTCCTGTTGTCGTGTTCCTCTGTGTATCGCTGGGGGTGGTTTTACTTGTACTGCTTTTCGGTCGAAGCGGCACAGCAAACACACATCGAGCATCCCCCGAACGCACGTGTCTTGGTGCGTGCTCGGTTTTGTCTGTATCTGTGTGTGAGGGTGTGGGTGTCCCGTTATGTCTGTGCGCATGCTGCCCTGTTTCAGTATCACGCAAAACCGTTTGTAATCTACAGACTGGCGCTATAAATCCGCGACCCACCACTTGCGCTTCCACGCGGATGCCCTCGGAAACATTGCGCAACAGTGATGTCGACGTGTCGATGCCACTCCTGTTTAAATGTGCAATACAAATCTTAGCCAAGGAACTGCACCTTTTCAACTACACTGAGCAAATGAAATGGGCCATGTATGTACTTGGCTGGAGCACTTGCTAACATATTCATTACTAGACGCCATTGTATCGCGTCATATACGAAGAACTTATGAGACGAAAGGTATGCGGATAGGGGTGGAACATCCGGGCAGGGAATTTAGTTGGGATAATATAAGCTAACAAGTCAAAATACTCGGATGTACTTGTATATACACGTGTATATCGACTGCCCCTGGCCCGAATGTGTCATACAAAGAGAACTGGATCTCCATATACACGAAAACCTAATATTTGAATGCGAGAAACATTCTACATCAACTACATCAGAAATTGTATCAATACATCAGAATAAAGGAATATAGTAACGGGCACACTATCCAATGATCATTTAGAAAGGCTGGCACGAAAATCTAGTGTGGTAGAAGATTTACAAAAAGAAAGCGCAGGAAAGATGAGTGGTATAAGAAAATAAAAAAGACATTCACATACGGCACGCATTCTATACACTGCCATATTTCGGAAACTTGCCTTCTGCCAATTTCTGAGCGAGTTATGCGGAACAAATCATCGCTACCCAAATACAAGGAACTGCCAAAATTCCGGCAGCACTCACCGCAGGCAGTGCCTGGAGATAGTAAGGTACAAATAACCTTCAGCCAAGCACAGGTAAATACATGTATAGATGAAATGGTCAATATATAAACGTAAATACATGTATTTCATCGTACACCTATGAATATGTATGAACCATGAATGAATATACGAGGATATATATATACATATATAAATATATTTATGTATATATGTATAAATGTATATATATATATATATATATATATATATATATATATATGTATATATATATGTGTGTATATATATAGATATATATATATATAAATTTATATATATATATATATATATATACATAT